CACGAGCATCACAAAATCTCCAGAAGCCTCCACATAACTTTCAGGTGCCCTATAACCCACATCTAAGCCAGAGGTATAAAGGGGAACGAAGGTTGAAAGATAATCTTACACCAATAGGAGAGTCCTATGAAAGCTTGTTTGAGAGGTTAAAGCATCATGACATGATTGCATCTATTCCTCCAAATCATGTGGACCCACGTGCAAGAAGCTTTGACCCTTCTAAAGGTGTGAATACCATTCCAATGCCCAGGGGCACAATGTTGAAAGTTGTCGGGATTTGAAAAGAGGAATAGAAAGGATGATCCAGGAAAATCTTATTGTGATCCAAGATAGTGACACCCAGAATATCGCGTAGAATCCTTTACCTGCACATCATGATGAACACTTTGTGGGGAAGATGCCTGATGACAGGGAGCACTCGAATCCTATTGGGAACTTATTGACTAAGGTTGATGATATTGAAGTTGGTAATGGTCTTGGCAATATTGATGCGAAGCGCAGTGGCTAAAATGCCAATTTTGATAAGTGGGAGGACGCTCCGTTCCTTGGTTAGAAAGAGAGAAGCTTTTGGTGGCTTATTTTGTTGTCATTTTCGTTGTCCGAATTATTCTTAGGGTTGTAATCCGGATATTGTCTTGTGTGAAACTTTCTTATCTTTCCATTTTGTCATAGCGGTTTGTTTAGTTTTGTCCAGGTTGTTTCAGGATTTTATTCTGGTTTGTTTTTGTTTGTTTTGATTCAAACCATTTCACCGTTAGTCTAATGCAAAATCCGATCTTTTATTATTTCCAGTCATCTTCTTTGTTTAGTTCTTTTATCCTTTTGTTTTGTCCTTGTTCAGCGCCGATTCTAGTGACATGACATGTGCACACAGTTTGGGCTTAATCTTAAAAGTTAATCATACACCATGGAGAGGTGATCGGAACATTTAAAGGAAATAAGGACGGTTTGAGATTATTCGGAGCTCGAGTCATGTGGAACTGGGGCAAGTAAAACATAAAGAAAACCGTTAAAGGCAAGTCGCCAAATTGACATGAGGGTCGTTCATGATAATGAGAGTGAGAGTGTTGCCCAACGGTGCTTTAAAGATGACAAATGAAAAAGCAAATGTGTGAATATAATTGTCAAGTCCAGCACCATCAGAAAAGGCTACAAATCTTTGTTTAATTGTGTTGTTTGCACTTGGCATGTTTTGAAGATTGGAATGACGAAGGCATTTTGTTCTGCTACCTAAACACTTTATCCTTCGTTACCCCTTTTGAGCCTTATTTATTTTCTTTCATACCCCTCGTTCGGAATCAGTAGAAAAGGTTAGAAACACAAACGTGGAAGAAAAAAAAGAAAAAGAAAAAAAAAAGAAAAGAAAGCAACAAAAACAACAACAAAAGAGAAAAAAAATGATAACAAAAACAAAAGAAAGTCAGAAGAAAACAAAGGAATTGGGAACTACGTTTGACCTGATTCCTCAAAGAGGATACGTAGGCGCCTCACGGCTCGGTCATAGTGTGCATAGTGTGCATAGTGTAACATAGTATAACAAAAATAAAAATCCCCAAGCAATAAACTGGGGTAGAAGTTGTGTTTGATGTAAAGAAATCTGGTTCCGAAGGTTGTAAATTTTGAACCAAAATTGATTCGTTTTTGAGCCGCTAATACCCTTTCTTTCTAGCCCTATCCAAAATCCTACATTATAGTCCAAAAAAAGACCTTCTAATCAGTCTTCAAAAAATGACAAGTTAGACAAATAAGAGAGTCTTACCGGTGAACACTCTGATCTCCAGCAGAAAAGACTCTGATCCCAGCAGAAAAGAAATATGAGAGAGTCTAGCGGTAACACCCCAATCCACAGCTGGAAAGTAATACACATGAGAGAGTCTTATCGGTGAAAATCTTCACGGGCACCATAAGGCGATGAAAGCTGAGAGAAAAACCAAAATGAGAGAGGCTTGACAGTGAAAACCCTTCAGGCACTACGAGTCGAATAAAGAATGAGAATCAGATGGAAATCACCAGACGAAGGTTATGAAAGGTGATTAACGACGGAGGACAGGCCATATGTGCATGTCATGACCATTAGAGTTGGTATCCGCATTTGATAGGTTTTTATTTTATAGTTTCCTCATTAGAGAGTCATCTCTTTCCTTTGTCTTTTATTCTGTTCCTTTTTATCTTTCTCCTTTCATAGAAAAAAATTCCCCAGTAGAGTCTGTTTGGTCATAACAAATGAGAAATGACTTCAAAATCTACCATCAGCTTTCCAATTATGCAAGACGAGATCTAACTAGTACATCCAAGTGATATAGTCAGTAAGGAACACGCGCGAGGCCAGTGTCAAGAAAGATATCCCCAGCAAGAGGGAATTGACAAAAGGATTGACGCGTGTCAAGAGGGATATCCTCGCCGAAATCAAAGGTTATAAACCTCAAGGCCAAGGCCCATGGACAAATCAAGAAAGAACAACACGGAGAGAAATGAGCATGATTTGGGAAATTCATATGAGACTAAAAGGTCGGGGAAATGCCAGTTACCGAGCTATGCCACAAAAGAAGAGGGATATCTCCAGCAGAAAGGGATCATCCCCAGCAAATAATATCATCCCCAGCAAGTTTTTTGGAATGCAGAGCAGGGAAGGAGAGAGGGAAAAGCCATCCCCAGTAGGAGTATCACAACCAACCACCACAGTCGAATCTTAAAGGAAATGACATTGATGGTGGAAATGCATGCCATAAAAAAGATTATCAAACTGGGGCAGAAAATTTTCTTTTCATTTTGAAAATTTTCTGGAAGTCATGTATCCATATGGGGAGGAAGAAAGATAATACCAGTCTTAAGGGAAGTGGGTTTTGAACCGGTGTTATCCCCAGTAGTGTTGAAAGAAAGAAAATAACGAGTTTTAATAAAAAGAGTTGTATCCCCAGCGGACAGAACAAAGAGATGAAACTGGTGTTTAGAAAAAGCAAAAGCCATTATCATCCCCAGCAACTTCCAGAAGAATGAAGCATCGATTTAAAGGGATAAAATTCCCCAGAAGCGTTATCCTCAACAACGTTATCCCAAGAAGATAACATTTTTATCCCCAACAGTGTTGAGAGAAAATAAAAAAAAATTGAAGGAGGGGAAGAAAGGAGACTCCCCAGTGGTATTATCCCCAGTAAGCAAGTAAGTAATTCCCCAACATCATTATCCCTATCAGGCTCGTGGGAAGACAACACCAGCTTTTAAAGGAGGAAGTCATCCCTAGCAAGGCCACAAATCGGCCACCATTTTAAAACTGATAAATTTTTCTTTGTTTGAGAGTTGAAACAGGAACAAAGCAGCACAAGTTACAAAGGTAAGTTTCTCAAATCTTTGATCTTTATATTTTCCTCTTAGGATAAAAAGTCCTAGTCTGATGGATTTCCCTCCCGATCAAATCTTAGTCCGATGAATTTTTCTCCTAAGATAGAAATCTTAGTCCGATGAATTTTTCTCCTAAGATAGAAATTTTAGTCCGATGAAATTTTCTCCTAAGATATCAAATCTTAGTCCGATGAATCTTTCTCCTGCTCCCGAGAAGGACATAAGAAGTTCAAGATCGGCAGTCAAGGGAGAATACAAGACAAATCAGAAGTAAAGAAATGCCAGAGGAGTCGCCAAGACATCAAAGCAACAAGAGACACAAGAGCATGATCAAGATAAGATTTTGTAATTTATAGACTATGGTCTAGTCTAGCTTCTTGTTTTCTTTCAGCATGGTGTAATAAGGAGGTCAGCAAGCAGTAAAAACAGCATGCAACAGCAGTAACAGCAAAAAGCAGTCCCATGGTAGTTCCAGCTACCAAAACTTCCCGAACTACATTAACCTGATTCCCTTTTAGCCAGGGATATGTAGGAAACCTTTGAAGCAAAGGTTCGGTTAAATCTTGTTCAAAAAATGCTTCACACGGAGTACTCGGATGGGCAAAAATCGCTCACTTTATCTTTGCACGAAAAACTCTTCGTGTTTTCGGACAAAGAGGGGCAGCTGTAAGCACGTGATTTTTGCCCTATATGAGAATTACTCCCAAAACTTAAAAATTAAACAATTTTCCATTTGTGTGCAATTTTGAGGATTTTTGGATAATTATTTGTATTTTTCCATGCATGTTTATTTGTAAATTAATAAAAAATACAAAATATGCCGCAGTTGCATTTAGGATATAATTCTAAAATTAGAAGTAATTAAGTTTGTTTTACAAGGATGAAAATTACAAAAATATGCATCGTTTGCATTTTTAGCATTCAATGTCAAATTGTGCAATTTTGTTTTAATTGATGTTTAATTATGTATGATAATTGTTGCTAGGAATTAATTAGTATTTTTGATAAGTTAATTTAGTTTATAAATTAATTTATAATTTTAGTTTTATTAATTAGAAAGTAAAAGAAATNCACAGATGATCAGATCTCTGAATTCAAAGAAGCTTTCAGCCTTTTCGATAAGGATGGAGATGGTTGCATCACCACTAAGGAGCTTGGGACAGTGATGCGGTCGTTGGGACAAAATCCAACTAAGGTTGAGCTTCAAGACATGATCAATGAAGTAGATGCTGATGGAAATGGAACCATTGATTTCTCGAAGTTCCTTAACCTGATGGCTCGCAAGATGAAAGACACTGATTCTGAGGAGGAGCTCAAGGAAGCTTTCAGAGTGTTCGACAAGGATCAGAACGGATTTATTTCTGCAGCTGAGCTGCGCCATGTCATGACAAACCTAGGCGAGAAGCTTACTGATGAAGAAGTTTATGAGATGATTAGTGAAGCTGATGTGGATGGTGATGGCCAGATCAACTATGAGGAGTTCGTCAAAGTCATGATGGTCAGGTGAGAACTGATCAACTCGACTTAATTCTTAGAAGTAATAAATTACAAAAAAAGAAGAAGCTGGAAATGGGGCAGATTTGTTTCCGTTCGAGTTCGTCGTTGTTCATTTCCGGTTAGTTGGTTTAAGTTTCATTTGTGTCCGTATTTTGTTTGATATTCTCAGATTTGAAATCAGTATATGTTTGATTCTTTTCTTGTTTGTTGTTTATCATTTTTGATTATTTCTTCAGTTGGTTTTATGTTCTTGTTTAGTTTAATATAGAAATTGTTGGTGGTAATGTTGTTAGATTTAATTTGAAGTCCAATTGATTATTGAGTTTAGAGATTTGAATCTACTTGTTTGTTATGTTCAATTTGTTACTGTTATTGAATCTGAGAGTATGTTTGTTGTTAAAAATATTGTTCAGTCAAAAATATTGAGTTTCTAGCTTAAATTTGTTGACGAAATTTTATTAGAAATTGGTTATAGCTGCTGTATTTTGGTTAGATTGATTAGGTGAATTGGTTACAGCTGATGGGGGTAGAATGGTAAATTGCAGTATTTTCAGGGGTAGAATGGTAAATTGCAGTATTTTCAAGGGCATTTTCGGGATTTTAAAGGAGTCTTAAAATTAATTAATGAGTGCTCTGTCCACTAAGCATTAAATAATGTTTAAATAATATTAAAATAATACGTAGTGGGGGACAAGACATAATGGTGGAGAATTAATACATTGTTTAATATAGTGGGGGACAAAACATGCGGTAGTGGGGCAATAAGTGATTTAAATAAGGGAAAGATATGTGTTAGTGGGAATTAATATATTGTTAATATAGTGGGGGACAAAACATTAGGTAGTGGGAAGTTAAAGGGTGATGGGTAGAAGATAGTGGGATTTTAGTTTAAAATGCTTTAAGTTTGTAAATAAATGGGGGGAGGTTTTCTGAATTGGAAGGGGGAATTCGAGAGAGAAGAAGAAAAATAAGAAAAAATTGGCTGAATATTGAGGAAAAATTTGGAAGGAAATTCGAAAGAGAGAGTAGTATACACCCGATATACATGCTGCATACACTGGATATACAGAGGGGTCAGAATTTAAGGGTTAAACATTAACTGGTCTTTCCATCCAAAAAAGATTCACTTTGTTTCTGCCCGTTGATTGTTGTTGGTGTTTCTAGATTTTCATCTGATTTGTTCTTGAGTTTGGCTGGTTATTTGCTACTACTTCACTGGTTATTGCTGGATTTTGTTTGATTTTAAAATCTGTCACTGATTTCTCGTTGCTGTTTGTTACTGGTTGCGGGCTGTTGCTGTGTTACATTACTACTTTGCTGACCTTCTTTTTTCTTGTATTGGCAATACCAGGTACACAACTGTAACTTTGGCATATTGTAAGCTGAAATGTGAAAGCATGACTACATATGAAGAATGGAACTTTGAAGTTTTAATTTGGCTTTTTCTTTGTTTCTTTTACTAATTGTGTTTAGGCTATTTCATGTATTATTATTCTGTAAATTTCTGTCGCTCTGCATAACTAGGCATCTTGTAGTGATGTATTAAATAATACTTTGCATTAACTTGATTATTACGCAGTATATATTTAAGCAAGCTCATTACTGTCAAACTGTTTAATAATTGGAATAAGAGGAAAATAACATAAGTTGGTCTTTAGTGAATCGGCTTGGCAAAACTGATTAAGTTCACTAGCTATGAAGGTTTTAATATTGTCAACATTAGGTTAATCATGAACATGTAGCTAAATTTAGTTAAAGCATGAATTTAAATTAATTTCGCGAATTAGGCATTATGGCATGATTTGAGTTCAAACAAGACGAGTTAATGTTTAAATTTAATAAACTTTCGAATATGCATTAGTAATTAAGATTGATTCTAGTTTCAAATAGTTGTAAATAATTAATTCCAACGGTTCAAGTCATCTAACAATGCGAGTTTAATCTAGTTATAGGATAATTAGTTTCTTTTGAATATATTATTTGTCGATTCCGTATTTTATTTATAATTTCAATTTTAGTAATATTCCTTTCCGTTAACATTTGTCTTAATCTAGCATTTAATATGTTACGCTTTTTTTAAAAAGCATGTAATTAATTAAGATTTTTTCTATTTTATTTTAGAGACGAATTTAATATAAATGTAGTCACTTTAGGATATCCTTAAAATAAATGAGGCGTGCTTCGCCAAAATAAATACAAAATTGCGGGGCCCTCAATAATTATTTGTTTTAAAATACTTAGATTCCGGGACGGGCCGTTTAGAAAATTCTACGGCCCTACCCAAAATAATCACAACGTGTTAGTCTTTAGGCGCTTATTTAATAATGTTATTTTCCTAAACTCGGGTGCACATTTATGTGACCCAAATCCAAATCTCAACGGAGTCGAAGTGTGTCGACGACCACGGGTACATTGACTGTGACGTGGTTCGAGATATATTTTCACGATGTTGCAATTCTCGATAAAAATAATAATAATGATAAAAGTGGTTAAAAGTTAAAATTCGCACATATGTTCAACATGTATGATATCAGATAATCAAGCCGAATATGACAGTTGAGCGACCGTGCTAGAACCACGGAACTCGGGAATGCCTAAAACCTTCTCCTTGGTTAACAGAATTCCTTATCCGGATTTCTGGCGCGCAGACTTTTAAACAGAGTCAATATTTTCCTCGATTCGGGATTAAAACCGGTGACTTGGGACACCATAAATCTCCCAAGTGGCGACTCTGATTCTTAAATAATAAATCCCGTTTCGATTGTCCTTTAATTGGAAAAACTCCCTTCCGCACCCCTTTGAGGCGGCGCGGGCGAAAAAGGAGGTGTGACAGAGGGTTGAGAGCTTCCAGCAGATTCAGAGATTTACTAGGTAGCTGCTCGGTTCGCAACCCAGTATTTCACCCTCTATCTTATTTTCTCCTGTTTTAGTTCTATAATAGACTATGTAGACTCTTTCTGTTTCAAATAGGTTAGTAGATGCTCATGACTGGTGACACCCCGATGTCGGGCTATGTCTATTCCACAATTGTACTGTTTCACCTTATTTTGGGATTATTATTATGTTAAAGACTTAATTTGTATGATTTTTAATTGCTTAAAATGAATTGGGAGTGCGTCGGCTGGCCTTGTCTTCACGAGAGGCGACATCACGACCGGGTCTGGGTTTAGGGTCGTGACATTCATTTAGGCGGAATTCCCGCTTTATGGTCCTAAAACGCAAAAAAAATGGGGAACGTTCATGGTGAGGCGATGTTTATTGTTCTTTAGGTCATTTCTAATGGTGTGGCAAAATTTTAGATCATGCGGGTCCATTCGCCCAAACCCTTGCAGAAAGCATGGGCAATTGCACACAAAAATTTGAGAATCGGGCAAAATTTAAGATTTACGACCTACAACGCCAAAAAAAAGGAGAAACATTCATGGCAAGGCAATAACTATTGTTCCTTAGGTTATTTTTATGGGCCGAAAAATTTTTGGGCGATCTTGGTCTGACCATCCCGACTCATAAAGATGTCGGGGGTTATAACACAAGAAAATTAGGAAATCAGGCGAAATTATAGTTTTATGGCCCTAAAAAGCCAAAAATGAGGAACGGTCATGGCAAGGCGATGACTATTGTTTCTTAGGTCATTTTTTTCTGGGCTGACTAAGTTTTAGGCGATCCGGATTGGTCGTCCGGACTCATGCAGATGGCATGGACTATATATAGCACATGAAAATATAAGAATCGTGCAAAATTCATGTTTTATGGCCAAAAACAAGACAAAATGACGAACGGTCATGGCGAGGCGATGACTATTGTTCCTTATGTCATTTTGGATTGGCTGGAAAAATTTTAGGCGATCCGGGTCTAGTTGCCCGGACCCAAGCAAATAGCATGGGCTAAAGCACACAAAAATCTGGAACGAGCAAAATTATAACTTTATGGCCCAAAAATGCCAAAAAATAAGTGACGATCATGGCGAGGCGATGACTATTGTTCCTTAGGTTGTTTTTGATGTGTCAGTAAAATTTTAGGCGATTGGCGTCCGGTTGCTTGTACTCATGCGGATAGCGTGGGCTATAGCATACGAAAATTTGGGAATCAGGAGAAATTCTAGTTTTATGCCTCTAAAAAGCCAAAATATGAGAAACGGTCATGGAAAGGTTATGAATATTGTTCCTTAAGTTGATTTTGATGGCTGACTAAATTTTAGGCAATCCGGGTCCGGTCACCCGGATCCATATAGATGGCATGGGCTATGCACCCGAAAATCTGGGAATCGAGCAAAATTCCTATTTTATGGGACTTAAAACAAGAAAAAATGAGGAACAATCATGGTGAGGCGTTTACTATTCTTCCTTAGGTCATTGTTTATGGGCCGACAAAATATTGGGCGATTCGGGTCCGGTCGCCCGGACCCATGCAGATGGCGTGGTCTATAACACATAAAAGTCTGGAAATTCGGTGCAATTCCAGTTTTATGGCCCTAAAATTCAAAAACAATGAAGGACGATCATGACGAGACGATGAACATTGTTACTTAGGACGTTTTTGATGGGTCGGCAAAGTTTTATGCGATCCGTGTCCGGTCGCCCGAACCCCTGCAAATGGCATGCGCTATAGCATACGAAAATCTCAAAATCATACAGAATTCCAATTTTTGGCCCTAAATTCCAAAAAAGGGATGATTATGGCGAGGCGATAACTATTGTTCCTTAGGTTTTTTTGATGAGACGGCAAAATTTAGGTGATCGAGGTCTGGTCGTCGGGACCCATGCAGATGGCATGGGCTATAGCACATGAAAATCATGGAATCAAGTAAAATTCTAGTTTTATGGCCCTAAAAAGCCATCAATTTGGGTTTGATCGCCCAAACCCATGCAAATGGCGTGGGCTATAGCAAATGAAAATCTAGAAATCGGGCAGAATTCCTATTTTATGGACCTAAAATGCCAAAAACTGAGTAACAATGATGTCGAGGCACTGACTTTTGTTCCTTAGGTTGTTTTTTATAGAACGGT